TTGATGTTCCTATTGCTAAGAGAAAGGGTGTTAGATCTTGCACCACTAACCATCCTATCTCTCACTTTGTGTCTTATGATCATATTTCATCTTCATATCGTGCATTCCTCTCCCCTGTTGACAGTATCCTTGTTCCTAAGAATGTGGCGGAAGCTTTATCCAAACCTGAATGGGCAGATGCAATGAAGGAAGAGATTGATGCATTACACAAAAATGGCACTTGGGAGTTGGTGGATCTTCCTAAAGGGAAGGAACCAATGGAGTGCAAGTGGGTGTTCACAATGAAACACAAGGCTGATGGAATTGTTGAAAGGTACAAGGCCAGACTGGTGGCAAAAGGTTTTACACAAGTACATGGAATGGACTATGCAGAGATTTTTGCCCCAGTAGCCAAGATGAACTCTATCAGAATTCTCCTTTCACTGGCAGCAAATCTTGACTAGGAACTTCACCAATTAGACATCAAAAATGCTTTCTTGAATGCTGACTTAGAAGAGGAAGTGTACATGACCCAACCTCYAGGTTTTTGTGCTAAAGGCAGTGAACGGAAAATGTGCAAGTTAAAAAAAATCTTTATATGGGCTGAAACAATCTCCTCGGGCCTGGTTTAGTAAGTTCCACTTAGCAGTTCAACAAATGGGGTTCAAACAATGCCAGTCAGAWCACACACTATTTGTGAAGAAAGGTGATGGGAAAATTGCAGCTCTAATTGTGTATGCGGATGGCATAGTGATTACAAGAGATTCARAGGCTGAAATACAGAGACTAAAAAAGTTCTTAGCCACTCAATTTGAGGTGAAAGATCTAGGCCCTTTACGTTATTTCCTMGGAATTGAAGTTGCCCGCTCTCACAAGCGCATCTTTATTTCCCAACGAAAATATGTACTATATCTACTAGAAGATACAGGCAAACTGGGGGTGAGACCAATTTACTCACCAATTGAACCTAACCATCATCTGGGAGACAGTCAGGGAGAATTCTTGAAARATGTGAAGAAGTTTCAGAGACTTGTAGGGAGACTCTTGTATTTGTTTATGACCAAGACTGATATTGCTTATGCAATGGGTGTCCTTAGTCAGTTCATGCACAATCCTAGGACAACTAACCTTGAAGCTGTAGAGAGGATCCTCAGATACCTCAAGAAGTTTCCTGGAACTGGTTTGTTGTTCCAGAAACATGGACATTTAAAGGTGGAGGTATATACCGATGCTGATTGGGCAGGGGCAGCTGATGACCGAAAGTCTACCAGTGGATATCATGCCTTTGTAGCGGGAAACCTAGTTACATGGAGAAGTAAGAAGCAAAGTGTGGTGGCAAAGTCTAGTGCTGAAGCAGAATACAGAGCTATGTCTCATGGAGTTGCTGAAATCATGTGGATAAGAAATCTGTTAGGAGAACTGGGTTTTACAGTTAGCAACCCTATGTCACTCTATTGCGACAATAAGGCTACTATCAACATTGCAGCTAATCCAGTCCTCTATGATAGGACGAAACACAATGAAGTGGACAAGCATTTTATTAGAGAGAAGCTTGTAAGTGGAGAAGTGCACCCCATATGTCAGCTCAAAAGAACAACTTGCAGGCATCTTCACCAAAGGTCTTCATCATGTGCGGCATAACGATTTGTGTGACAAGTTAGGAATGATTGACATCTATGCTCCAACTTGAGGGGGAGTGTTGAAATAATTGATTTTATGTTTGTTAGGATTTGTTTGTCTGATTAAAGCCTTTTATTTTAATCTATTATTGTACCATCACTTAGTAGGGGCACAAGGGTCATTTCCTTTCTTATTTTTTTGCCATATATATTATAATGAAGCTGGCGCCGCCAGCACTGTTCCATTGCCTCAATCCTTTCTTACTTCTCTTCTCTCCTCTTCTCTTTTGCTGTAATCTTCAATCAGATTTACTGTCAAGACCAAATGAGATATTGGAATTATTCGGTAGATTACCAAGTAATCTCTCTAATGACACAAACAGTCCATCTTCCAAACAGTTGGTAGATCTTGGAATCCAATTGTAACTTGTCTTTGGCCCCTCAGACAATTGTTTGATCTCCCTCATTATTTTTAAAACTCGATTAATTCATCAACAAATTTGACTATCAGATCTCAGCGTCCAGAATCAGCCAACCATGGAAACAATGGAATTAGACCTTCCCAACGTCCAGAATCACTTCCCTTTAATAAGTACTATATAAATTATATGGATAGGCCAACAAACAAGCTATGGCATGGGACTAGATTAGTTGGCTCAATATAATTTTCGCGACCTACTCGAAAAATAACTTCCTTCTGATATGCCTTCTCTAGTTCACTTAAAAAAGTATATATTTCAACCAACACCATCTGTTCCACTATCCTTCTATCATGGGTGCAAATGGTTATATATGGGCGAGACAAGTCAAGTATTCTAACTTCTAAACTCTTTTTGGCACAAACTAAAAAAAAAACTTGAAGAATGACAAGGGTGGGGAAAGTACAGAAAAGTCTTGATCAATCTTAAACAATAGAAGGTAGTATATATTTGCTTTATTTCTTCTAASTATTTCTTTAGTTTTATTTGACCTAGATGAAAGGTCCTAGCATGATACGTAGACAATGCATTTAGATAATACCAAGTTGTTTTTTTTTATTGAGGTGAGTCCTTGATAAAAAGCAAAAATATATTTATTAAGTTTTGAAGAAAATAAAAGATGATGAACTACTAAGTTGTTATTATATGGTATAAACATTAGATCTTTTATTCAAGGAAAAACAAAAATATGGTATAAAAGATGATAAACTACTCTTATTCTAATGTCTCTATTATCTCTCTCCCATCTCTCCTTATTTCCTAGCTATTTGGGGTTTTAAGGGTTAGAGCTATTGGACTGGRCCTATTATCGAATTGGTTCTCTTATTATGTTATTGGGTTTTGTGGGCCTAGGCTTATATGCTTTAAATCTTTCTTTTATACCCACCTAATGAAAGGCATTTCTGTACATGTAACATTTCCTTTAACATCACTTTAAATAGTAATTAGGGTTAGGCAGAAACTAAGCTGCCACCCACTCTTCTGTTCCTCCTCTTCTCTCTTCTATCTTCTCATCTTCTCATCTTCTTGCTCAAAACCTTCATGGTCTCAAAGCATTAGGTCTTCCAAGGTGCAATTGAAGTTTCCCTTCCTTTCATCCCTCTTATTTTCTAGTTTATCACCACTGATTGGTTGCAATCCTAATCAGAAAGTTTACAGTTTTTAGGGCTCTTTACCTTTGGTAAGAGACCAAGGGGAACCCTAAGAGGATTGTTTATGCCCTGTTAGGGTGAGATAAGGAGCAGTCTGTAGGAGACCCTGAGTAGGTACTGAGGGCTGAAGACAGAACCCAGAAAACCTGCTGTCCAGTCGACTTCCTGCAGACTTTGTGAAATTTGGGCTTGCTAAAGTTTATTGAATAGAAATAGAAAAAGATTGGAAACAGCTTTGCCTTTTGCAACATTAGCCTGTTTGGGATTTCCTAAGGTGGAAAACTTGTTGAACCCTCGGTTCTGCTGCTTTCCCTCAAAGCTTTCCTGCTATCAGCCAAAGTTTGATTGTGAAGATTCATCATGTCTTTATTGATCAAAACAAAAGATTCATCATGTCCAGCACAAGTGAGGTGACTTCAAAGGAAACCATAACTTTTTTTTGATCAATAAAAGGAAACCGTAACTGGGTAGTCCTCCTAGCATTGAGAACCCTAGTATTCAGATAACAAGTATCCAATTGGATGAATACAACTACCAAGAATGGGCTATTTCAGCAAAACTGCTCATACGAGCCGTGGATTGTTAGGGTATATAAATGGACAGATTTTGGAACCTGAGGAAGACCAACCTGAGTTCAAGAATTGGTGYAAGGAGAATGCTACAGTGATGTCCTGGCTTCTCGGCTCTATGACACCTAAGATTGTTAGGACAGTGCAACATTATAGTAGAGCTTAGAAGATATGGGATAAACTCTCCATCACCTTGAGCAGAAGAATAACTTTGCAAGGGTTTACGGATTTAAAACCAAGACATTGCAGTTTTGAATTAAGGGGAGATGACAAATAGTAACATATTTTGCAACTCTTGAAGGCCTTTGGAAGGAACTAGATTCATCACTTAACATTGGACTAGGACCACAGACAAAGAAAGACATGATAGGCAGGTTGAAGAAGGGAGGATATTCAAGTTCCTAGCTGGGTTGAAGCCTTATGAGTGCATTTGTTCTCAAATTTTGGGGAAAGATGAACTTCCCGGACATCAGTAAAGTAAAGGAGGAGACAAGAAGAGCCTAAAGTGTTCACATTGTGGAGGAGACAAACCTGCTGGATTCTTTTTCCTTACCTTAAACCAGCAGCTCTAAGTTAGGATAAGAAAAAATTCAAGGGTCCTAGTGGTGTTGGACATGTGGCTAGCTCAAATGTTGCCAATGGTACTAGGAAGAATGCTCACTCCTTCACATTTGGCACAGACCATCACTCCCACTCCCAACTTTCCAAACTTCACTGCTGAGGTGGTAGATCTTCTCAATCAAGCTATGGCTCAGTTGAAACATTCTTCATTTGCAAAGACAGGTATTGTCTCTTCCTTTAATGTTATTCAATCTTGTCCTCCTTGCTCCTAGGTTGACTCTGAGGAATCTAGACATATGGCAGTGTGTCTGCTTTGTTTACATCAAACCAGCTCACTTATAGTAAAGATAAGGTAAAAATTGTTGATGGTTCCCTTTCCACCATTTCTAGGAATGGAGACATTACCCTTGGAAAAGGCCATACCTTAAAATATGTGCCCCATGTTCCCAAGATTACCGCATTTATTGTGTCTAAATTTACCAAGGATTTATAATGTTGTGGCTTTTTTCCTACGCATTATGTGTTTCAGGACTGCTTGATGAGACGAACTATTGGGAGTGGTCGTGGGGCTAGAGGTCTCTAATACTTGAATGAAGAAATCACTACAGATTGGTCATTTGCCTTTTCCATCTTTCAAAGTTTTATTTCTTGAATTGTCATTTGTGTGATGTCTGTCAAATGTCAAAACGTTGCAAGGGAAATTGCCCAAAGTCTATGAATGAAATCTCTACTTTTGAGTTGATTCATTCTGATGTGCGTGGCCCTTCACCCATTGTTTCTATGGATGGTTATCTCTATTTCTTTAATTTTATTGATCCTTACTCCCGATGCATGTGGATCTGTTTGATTAAGGAAATGAGTGAAATTTCATAAATTGCCACAGTTTCTCTTTTTTTTTGAAATGGTGGAGAGAATTTAGGAAGAAAGTTAAGCAATGTCGTTCAGACAATGCAGCTAAATGCTTTGAAGGCTCTCTAAATACCTTCCATGAAGATGGAGTTCTGCACCAATCCTCTTGTACCTATGTTCCACAACAAAATGGTACTGTTGAGAGGAAAAATCATCACCTTCTCATAGTTTTCAAGGCGCCAAGGCGAGGCTAGGCGACTGGGCGTCGCCTAGGCGATGGATTTTTTATGTTAAAAACATAGATCCTAGGGTAGTTCTCTAGGTACCATAACCATATTTCTTTAATAATTATTCATGA